CATGGGGGTGTTTCAACCTAGCTTGCGTTGTGCTTTTAGGTGCCTCGTAATTTTTTCTTGGATAAGTGCAAGGGAGAAATTTCCATATCTGTCCTCTACTTTGCAAGATTAAATTTGTAAATTTAACAGTTCCCTAATTTTCAAGTCCCAAAGTCTACGCGTGGTAACGAGACACGTACCGATAGAATCCGTGAAAGTACAAAACGTGGAGATATGAAGCGTGCTAGTGTAAGACATTACAATATAAACCTTTAACATTATGGTGGGAAGTTCAAGCAAAAATGACAATAAAGAGATTGAACAAATCCACAGTATGACAATTTTTTGTTAACACCACAATGGAGGTTTTTAGCGATATTTATTTCTCTGCAAGACGGAGTAAGAACTCGCTACCCGTATACATTAGCCGAGATAACTGTTTCGAAACGACTCAGGAGCTGATTAATGTCGCGTACGTATAATACGTAATGACTGCATCGATTGTGTCCGAAGTACATTACGTTCAAGCCAGGATCTCTTTTTTTTGCTTTCTGTCTTCGGGACGGTTTTTAGGACCTGAAATTACGAGTTCGACTAGAGAAACGCGGCCGCGTTTGTTACGTATTACTGCTGCTTTTTCCTCGAGGACCTCCCACTGTCCTTCTAACGAGACCACCAAAGATACGGGGACTAAAAACCACGCAAGAAACCCACCAAAGTACGCTCTTTATACGGGATGTTTTATATATATCGCAGGACAATACGAAGCGAGTACACACGCTCCAATTATGGACGAATAGCTGTGGGACTGAAACCTGGTTTCATATACCGACGATACATTCGCGTTTTGAAATTGATACCTTGCTGGCGAATGATTCGATACTTATCGAGACATGAGACTACGCTATATCGATACGTATCAATTACGGAAATGATTTGATACCAATTTACTTAGAAATTCGTAACTGCTTAGAAGTGAAACTCACGACGATACGTAATCGCGTTATCAACGTGAAAAAAATGTATTTGACATTAGCAATAAAGATTACGTAAAAAATAATTAATGACTAATTAAAAAAGGTTACGAGATACAATTCCGCGATTGCAACAAAGTTGGTATCGTCTTCATCAGAGCGTGACATCAGAAATAACTTTATACGATAAATTTACTTTTTAATTTATCTGGCCGTTTAGATCGGACCGATTAAAATTCTCGATGTTCGCGGGTAATGTTTTGACTTGCACGAAAATGAAAAATGAAGGAAAAAGGGAAACAACGTGTCGGAAACGAACGATTGCATAATTAATTCCTGTACACGGTCAGATACACGCTCGCGTACAATAAGAAAGCATTCCTCTGTAGCATTGTCCAAGAATTAATTAAAATGGCGCGAGAACAAACGGCCGGGAGAGACGAGGAGGAAAAGAAAGGCTTGCGGTTTCTCCTCGGAATCTCAGCGGCGACATATAAACCTGGCGGTAGATCACACAAACTCTTTTGCAGTTTGCACCGGCTGGATAAAGCGGCTGCAGCC